GTGATGCCATGGCACTCTACCCAGGGGGATAGCTTGAGGCTCTGTCTTAAAAAAAAAAAAGTTTGAGGACCCCTGCCATAAACCTTGACTATCACCATGGGATTCATATAAAGTGCTATTAATGATTTTGGAATACTTCCTCAAAACAAATGTCATGACCTTATAAGAAAAATTTGTATTACTTGATATACATGGCTGATTGAGGTCTGTAGATGTGGTTGTGCTTACCATTTTAAGATAAATGGATCTGGTGTAAGAACTATTGTAAAAAGAGATAAAGAAATTTCCTGAAGCTGTTAATGCAACTATACTGGCAGGTGCTAAAACCTTACACTTTTTGTGAGATAGCTTTTAATCTATTGAAAATGCAGCTTTTGGGCTTGGCACCTGTAGCTCAAGCGGCTAAGGCGCCAGCCACACACCAGAGCTGGCGGGTTCAAATGCAGCCCTGGCCTGCCAAACAACAATGACAACTACAACAACAACAACAACAACAAAATCAGACAAATCATTATGTAGTTGTGCCTGCCTCTTTCGCCGCCCCTTCTATCTCTTTCTCCTCTGCCACCCAAGATACTCTCCTCAGCCTGCTCAACATGAAGATGATGAGGATGAAGACTTTTATGATAATCTATTTCTATTTAATGAATAGTAAATATATTTTCTCTTCTTTATGATTTTTTTTCTTTTTTGTTCCTCTCTGTAGAGTTCTGTGGCATCATAGCTCACAGCAACCTCAAACTCTTGGGCTCAAGATCCTCTTACCTCGGCTTCCTGACTATCTGGAACTATAGGTGCCTGCCACAATGCCCTGCTATTTTTTAGAGATGGTGTCTTAGTCTTGCTGAGGCTGGTCTCTAACTCCTAAGCTCAAGCAATCCCACCTACCTTGGCCTCTAATAGTGCTAGGATTTCAGGCGTGACCCACTGTGCCTGGTCATTATGATTTTCTTTTTCTTTCTTTCTTTCTTTTTTTTTTTTTTGAGATAGGGTCGTCCTGGGAGGTTGCTGTGGCATCACAGCTCACAGCAACCTCCAACTCAGGTTCAAGCGATCCTCTTCAGTTTTTCTATTTTTAGTAGAGACAGGGTCTTTCTTTTGCTCAGGCAGGTCTTGAACTCATGAGCTCAAGCAATCCACAAGCCTTGGCCTCCCAGAGTGCTAGGATTATAGGTGTGAGCCACTGAGCCTGGCCATTATGACTTTCTTTCTTTCTTTTTTTAGAGACAGAGTCTCACTTTATCACCCTCAGTAGAGTGCTGCGGCATCACAGCTCACAGCAACCTCCAGCTCTTGGGCTTAGGCAATTCTCTTGCCTCAGCCTCCCAAGTAGCTGGGACTACAGGCACCCACCACAACGC